AATAACAATTTATAATTTTTCTGGTAACAATATATTTAAAAAAATATAAAAAGGACATGCATTTAATAAAAATGTATTAGTATCTTTTATCCCGCTTTTCAACTCAAAATAAAATAACTAAGTTCGTTAATAAAGAATCTTTAATAACGGTTTTAAAGATTTATAGAAGTTCTTTTTAGTTTTTATTTTAGTTTTTAGTTCAAATTTTATTCATTTTCAGGTTATGTAAATGCACCAAAAATAAATTCATAACTATAGATTAGATACATCTCCAGGACTGAGAATTTAATTGTCAGACATAAAACTAAAATTAGAATTATAAATGATGAAAAGAAGATTTTTTTCTTACTTTTGTATAGTATTTTAAAAATAAAAGCCTTTTACTAGTCAATACACTCACAATTGCATTTATATACTGCATTTATAAAGTCGGGGTTCCACCAAAAGAAGATTGATCATTTAGGGTTCCATAGTAGAAAAAAAAATTGGGAATAGAGCTTCCCTTTAACAGAAATATGCTATAGAAATAATGTTAACATAGAAATAGGTTAAATCAAAACTTCATCCTGTGACCTTAATTTACTAAATAACCTTAAAATAATATAAATAAAATAAATAACCTAAAATAACCTTAATTTACTTCTTGTTGAAATATTATAGCTCCAAATACAGAATTTTAACTGAAATTTAGCATTAGGGGATAACAGCTTTAACTATCAGTACCAGTACCTTTCAGCCAGATTGTGAATAACCCTTTCCACCCATTAGCAATTAATTAATTATTAAAATTCTTGGAGCGGGACTCATGGTGATATAAAAAAAAAACAATTGGTTATGGGAAAAAGAAAGTATCCGAAGTTCCTCGAAGCGTGACTCTCTCCAAAAACGGCTCTAATCCATTTTGTGGGTGAGTCGAACGCTCCACTGTTCATCTTTTACTTCAATAACCTTGACTTTTGATGGCAGGATAGTCCTATATCATCACGGGTGTTTCTCCTTTTTACACATCAGTTGCCACAAACGAAAGTTGCTTTTAAGGTATCAGCGGCTTTCCATTCACTGTGATGGAATGATTAAAAATGCAATCTGCACGCAGTGAAAAGATGCGTGAAACAATGCACATTTAAAATATGAATTGACGGTAATTAGATAATTATGATCTAATATAGCAGTGGATTCCAAATGGTAGGGTTCCTGGTATAGTCACGGGGGCTCCGTGAGTTTACTTTTTTTTTTTTTAAACCATTACCAGGGGTGATTGTGAGCCCAACTCAAAAATCCTGAAAATTTCTTGAGTAAAATCATTAACGACGCATTTCATAAATTTAAATCATTCATGTTTTCACAACTTGAAAGTCTAAATAATTTATATGCAGCATAATTTAAATTAATAATTACGTATAAATTTATTTTTATCTCTAATCACATTTATTATTCTACCGGAAAAAAATATTTACAAATGAAATAAATACCAAGTATAAATTCCAGTTCCAATTTTTTTAAATAAAATATACGAGAATTTTTATACATAATGTGATCGATGATTTCTTGAAACTTCTGGACTTTGGATTTCCGGATCGCGATTAGCAGATAATCCGGATTTTTTCCGGAGCACAATCATCTCTGCAGTACTGATTTTTTCAGACGTGGGATAGCTTTGTATCCAACCAATATTCCATTATTTATTTATTATTACGGCTATTTTTATGAAATTATTTATGTAAAATTGAAATAGAACATTTTAAAACAATTTTTTTTCAATGACAATGCATGGAACAAAATTGTTTAACGATATGCATTTACAAATTCATCAGTATTTCACATCGAACTTTTTTAAAATTCAGAATAAATTCACCAAATTCAAGAATATTGAATTATTTTTTTTCTGGTGCTCTTTTTCACAATTTATAACAGTTCTTTTCCAGAAATTGTAATGCAGCAATTAAATCAGTTTATATAGTTACAGCTTATTTTAATCAGTTTCAAATCAAACGGCAAAAACTACTAGATTTAACTCATACAGCGAAAAACGTAGCCTCGGCAGACTTGCGAATTCCAATTGCTCAACATAAAATTTAATTTTTAGAGTTTTTAACTAAACAATGAAAACCTTTCATCTGTATTAAATATTTTTGAATAATTTAAAGGGTTTTTCTTCGATTGCATTTTTTACACCTGCTAATGAGCTTTTTTTTAAAAATTCAAGGTTCTGTCAAATTCGATCGCTTTGAATACCGTGGCTGAAAAAAATTTTGAACCGCTGTATTATAATATTCTGTTGAACTAATAAGTAAAATATGATTTATGTTTCTATTTTTTTTCCATTGAAATCACGAATAGTAATAATAATTTCAAAAAAGATTTTTGTAAGGAGCATTATAAATGCGTTTTAATTTTATAAATAAAAATAAAAAAACTTAAAACATATCAAAATATTTAAATGACTATTTTGCGTTAAAATGTAATAGCAAAAGTAGGTATACAGTCAGGTATTATGACATTTTCTACACTAATTTAAGCAATAGAATTTATTTTATAAGAATTGATTCCGCATAAAGTGCTAAAATGCATATAAGCATTATTCTGTTACATAAAAAAATGCGTTATATAATTTAAAAAATATACAAAGCGAGTAACATACATTGTAATAACCAATAATACACGATCATAATAAGCACACTTTTCTCAATGCTTGAAAAAACTAAAAAAATCATATAAACTAAATAATTGTATTTGATTTCAATTTACAACAATTATTTTAAAAACATAATGAGGCATTAAAATAACAGTTGCAATGATTATTACACTATTAAAATAATTATTATGTGTTTATTTTGCAATTATTGCAACAATTATTTTATTAGTTCAATAGTTTTCTAAAATTTAACAATTGGTAACTTAGAATAAACAAAAGTAGTTTCATAGTTCATACGATTTCACAAAACAAAGTTATTTCTACCCAGTTTCAATGGAATCTTTAAACACAGAAATAAATTTTAAAATTTAACAAAAAATATTTTTTCCCTATTTATAATTTTAAAATATAAAGGATGAAAATAAATATGAAATACATAATTCGCAAAAATTATTTTTTTCACACATTGATAAGAAGATCACTGCCCTTAAAACGGAGGAATCGTATTTTTACGAATTTCATTAGGTTTCATCTTCTTTTCCTATCCATCTCTTTTACATACATCTTCCTTTTTTTCCGCAAGCGATTGTTGTAGAGCAACTTAAAACTAATGAGTTGAGAAGTATAAATGTTTTTTCAAACAAAAACAAGAGTTTAAAATAGAAAACGATTATAAAAACTCACCTTATTTAAAATCGTTTGGTTTATTATCTATAGCTCTTAAACTATTTAAAAATTTCGGATTTTTATAGCTTTCCCTCTTTTTATCCTGGATCATCTTGCTATTTTTTACTATTATATCTTATTTAGTTTCTTAGGAAATAAGAAAACTAAGTTAAACTTCTCATTTTTACTCTAAACTTTATTATAGGAATAAAAAATATTATTTTACAAACTATCACTTCAAAAAAAAAAAAAGTTTTAAATAGAAAACTATTTCGAAAATTTGCTTTTTATAAAATCCCTTGCATGATTAAGCACTTTTTTTTCGCGTTTCAAAACAATAACTATTAATACTTAACCGTTCGTTTTTTTTTCTTTTTTTCAAAATAGAAATTGCGTAAAAATATGATATAATTTATAAGTTGTGCAAAACTTGGTATGAAAATTCCTACCTTCTACAAAAAGATACTATTTCGATGGGTGTAAAAATTTACGAAATTCCGTGCCCTCCATGTTTTTACTATTATCTTGTCAGTATCTTTTCTACGCATTTCTTCATAATAATGTAATGATATTTTAGTGTGGATGCAATAGGTTAGTGGGATTTTTTTTATAAATTTCTAAATTCAAACAATCACAGCTTAAATTAATAATAAGAAAGTGAGTATTACGCGGATTTCTGATTTTTTTGGACCAAATAGGAAAAATTTTATTGCAATTAGAAATGTGTTACTCAATCGTTTAATTTAATAGGAAAAGTAAAAGAATGTAAGATGGAAAAAATTCTAAAAAAAAATCATAAGCCATAAAGAAAGTTCAATTAAAATTAACAATAAAATGGTACTTATTAAAATTTACAATAAAATATTTCATGCAGTTCATTTAATGACGAGTTACCGAGAGAGTTTTGTTAAAAATAATTCAAATGAATAAATTAACAAGATTACAATGATTATGAGTTGACTAAAGAGTTTTATAATAATTTAACAAATATATCAATTCATAATGTTAATATAATGATCAAGATTTTTTTGGAATTGAACATAATTTAACAGTTGATTCAAATTTTCATAAATTTTATAAATATATAAATCAGACTGTTAAATTTAAAATAAATATTTTAATAGTGTAAATTATGATTATATCCTGTGGCACCAAAACGGTTAAATTTAAAATCAATAATTTTAAAATAAATCATTTAAAATTAATGATATAACAATGTAACTTATAAGGTAATGAGTCTTAATTGAAGAAATAACGGCGAATTATAATTAGAGAAAAATGGGAGTAGGAAAATAGTTTTATGACATTTCTCCTTTTATCCAAAAATATTTTTATTGCTTTAAACAATTCAGTTAAAAAATTTTAAAAAAAGCATACATAAAAAAAAAACGTACTTACGTAATATTTTAAAACCAGCCCATAGTTAATTTTCTGCAAAAAAAATTCGACAAGCGCGATATAAATACTATTCCTACAATAAATCTTTACGAATTGATACAATGTTGCAACTCCGTGGCATCGAGTTGCAGAAAATAGCTCCGTGCGGCATGAGAAAATAATTCAGGACTGCTGCAATCGATACCCGGGTAAAATAAGGTAAATATTGATGATTATTAACTTCGCTCCCAGTTAACTTCATATTTACTAACACATTTTATACCAAGAGAAAATATTTTACGGTAGATAAAATTCTACTTACCACTTTTTAAAAGAATCAAAAAATGTTCAAGCGATGGAAAGATAACCTTTAATTCTCTCTTTAGAGCAGAGAAACACCGGTAAATGTAGATAGCAGAGAAGCTAGCTTTCAGCAAGCACTCAGTTCACCAAATAGTTCCAACAAATGCGCACGATAATGAAACGAAACACGAACGCGGGAAGCCGGTTCCGAAATGTGGCAGGAGTCAATCGTCTGAAACCTTTTTCTGACGTCATCCTGGGAAAACTTATGGTGTTGCCATCTATTGCAAATAAATGAAACCATACACATATCCTAAGAAAAAGGTTCTCTAACTCCTTAATTAAAGATGCAGACCCAACAGCAGAATTAATAGAATTCTGCCGTACTATTTTAAAAAATTTGAATTTGCCTGTCATTTTATTGAAGTCAGGCAGATATTATTATTCTAAAAACTAAGTTTAGTCTAACATATATTTCCCTCAATAGTTAATTTGCAAATATTAAACATAATTAAGTTACACACAAATCGTCATGTTGTTTAAATTTAATTTGAATTTTATTCAAGCTTACTTTAACTTAGTCCAAAAGGAGAAACAAAATACATACTTTTACTAAGCCCGATAAGGAAATAGAAAAAAAAATTAATTTATAAACTATTTTTTTAATAACTATTTTAAACTCGTCGTAACTATATTAAGTAACTATTTTTTGTAACGATTTTTAAGGAAAAAAAAACATTAGGGAATGAATGGCAACCACGGGGGTAGGTGAACAGAGCGAACTGGGGGCGGTGCGTTCTAGAATACTAAAACTATATTTTTTCAATATTCTATTTGCTTAAAATTAACAAGCGGACGCACTATTGTAGCTGGGAACCATAAGACGATCGTCAACCCTGCTATTTGTATTTATAGAGTATACCAAAAGAATGGTGTATAAAAATTTTGTACACCACTCTTATACACCATAAATCTACAACGGTGGGTAAAGAAATTTGTACAGTTACTGAGAAAAAAATAACTTTTGTAACATCATAAGTTTTGGATTTCTGAAGAAAAAAAATTATATTTTACCATTTGCTTGTTATAAATAAAAAATAAATGTTATTTCATTGAATTCTATATCATATTTTATAACACCCATGTATTTAAATATGTTTCGAAAGATTGTATAACAATTTCCTTTGCCGTCAGACTGAATTGAATATAGAATATTGTACTATAAGAGTAGGATGCTTATTATAACGCGCCACATTTGAAATTAAACAACTTTAGTTTTCTTTCATTTTGAAGAAATATCATTCATAGATTCAAACGCTTGGCAATGGGAAATCTGCAGAAATTCTTTCTTCTTCCATATTTATGCTTTAAACATAGAAAATAAAGCAACGATTTGATGAATAGGGAGTTTTTTTTTTTCTTTCTATTTAGCATCTTTTTTTGTTTTATAAACCACTTTTTCCCCACTGTAATAAAAAAAAGGTAAATGAATGCTTAATTATGATAAAAAGTTATGATATTTATATATTCATATCAGACATAATTCATGCAGGATATAAAAAATATAACAAAGAAATGAAATGGTTAATTTTGAATACCAAATTTGTGAGTAATTTTTGTTTTTTCATTTATTTTTCTTTCCCTCTTTCGTTTCTAGAGGGATCAAGACCCCTAATTTTCATGGTTCAACACTTTTGGCAGACTGTTAGAAGATGCTATCTTCTAAAAAATAAAGGAACAAAAATACTTTTTTTTATGTAAAGCTTTTAGGAATATATAAATAAATTCAACTGAAAAAAAAGGAAAAACAAATTTTAGAACTAATTCATATTTCTTTCTTTTTTAATAAGAAAAAAAAATTAAAATCCTTTTTATCTTCTAACATCATACAACATGGCTACAAAAAATCATAATTTTACTGATAAAAAGTACTTATGAAACAATACTTCAGGCAGCGATAATTTAAAAACTAATATTTGCATTAACAATATTTTCATGTCAGAGTTTTTCTAAGAATGTACAAAATTTCTATTTTTATTATAGCTTTTACGTCATGAGAGTAAGGTAGTGCGCGGAACGAAAATTTTTCGGTAAGAATAGCGTCTTTAGTAATATGTATTATTATTATTAATACGTATATAATTTAATGTAAGGAAATGTTTCACATTTTTCAAGTAAAACAAGAATTTTTGTTGTTTTGCATGGATGCCAACTGCTCCTTGAATTAAATAATAAAAGTTATACAATAATGATAATTACTTCCACTCTTTATAAGCGTCACCACGAGATAACTGATATAAAGTTTCCTTTCATACCATATAGTTGCTCTTCATAGAAGTGGTAAAAAATTATGATCAATGAATTTATTATGTTTATGCGAAATTATTAATTCCCCGTGTAGTAAATGGAGACTGGTGCACGTTAAATCTGTCGGGTCACAAAGTATTGCATGCTCCCATAACAAATTAAACCTCTGGGGGTACTGAATTGGAGATAGATTGTTCTGTGGTTCAGGTCAAAATTAAGATCTGTGGATGAATGAATGGATGCATGAATGCGTGCGCCCTATAAGAAAAACCGTCGTTGAACAGCCGGCACAATTTTGGGTTTACAACTACAAATGTTCAACTCCGTAGCCTTGAAATTTGGAACCAATCCAGAAGACAAGGAAACTCCTGGATCAGTACTCCCAGAGATATTGATTTGTGTCGGGGAACATGGAGGACTTTGCGACTCGACAGATTTAATGTGCATCAGTCACCATTTACTACTTTTCGGCCTTTCGGGGATCGAGCCCACGACCTCTTGGACATGGGCCCAGGGCCCTACCAACCAGGCTATCCCGGCCATCGTGTGCCCTATAGACGGGTATAACGTGTGGATGTTCAGAAGTCGAATTCTTAGCCATAGATGGCGCCACACAATATTGAAGGAAGTATACAGTTTTATGGATGGTTGACCGAGTAAATCTAAGAGCAGGTGGAGCTGGGGGGTCAAAATTCACCATAAGACTTCAGAGATACTACGTTCGACTGATTTTTACACCTGAGCTTGAACAAACGCGCCATCAAATATTATTATACTTGTAGTGTTTTCAATATAGCGCGTTCTTTCAATTTAATTTTCAACGAAGCAAACAACCAATGAATGACTCCATAAGCTTGCTATGATGCTTACCCAAAATAAAACAAACGGCACTATTTTACATAAATATAGCCAAATAACAATCAAAACATGGTAAACCTAGCACTTTATTTATGCTGTGATATTAATTTTGTTTAATTTGTTTCAGAGGCTCATGACCTGTTAGATTTTATAAATTATAGTAAACTCTTATGAATGGTAAAATTACGCTAAAATTTAAACACAAATCACGATCATTAATCTTCTTGGAAGATTAAGTCTGCTCAAACATCGACTAGTAAGTATAACATAAGTGGATGGATACACGCGTAAATTTAAACACAAATCACGATCATTAATCTTCTTGGAATATTAAGCCTGTTCAAACAACGACTAGTAAGCATAACATAAGTGGATAAATACACGCGTAAACTTACGCGTAAATTTAAACACAAATCACAATAATCTTCCTAGAATATTATGTCTGTTCAAACATCGACTCGTAAGCATAACATAAGTGGATGGATACACGCGCAAATTTAAACACAAATCACAATAATCTTCCTAGAATATTAAGTCTGTTCAAACATCGACTAGTAAGCATAACATAAGTGGATGGATACACGCGTAAACTTACGCGTAAATTTAAACACAAATCACAATAATCTTCCTAGAATGTTATGTCTGTTCAAACATCGACTCGTAAGCATAACATAAGCGGATGGATACACCGGAAGTTTTCTAAATTTCTTCCGGTTTCAGGATTGTTATTGTTTACAATCTATCAATCATCCAATATGAGAGGATATGATATCCACCACTAATCACTTGACAGACATCAAGACGATAAGTTTTCCTCCATGCATAGAATATTTTATTACTTAGATTGCAGAATAAAATTTACTCAACTTAGGTGTAGTTTGCGTGTTCTTTGGCTAATTAATAAAGTATAATTTGAAACAGTTTGCATTATTTTGAGGCTGAAGAAAAACGAAGTTTGGATTCGCTAAATGCGGTAACCGATTCTAATATTTTCTTTTTTGGCTACACTTATTTAAACTACATTAAAGCCAGATGTTGTAACTGCCTAACTAAACTTAGATACAGAGATTCTGCTTTTAGAAGGGAGTTAAAAATAATAACTTTATATCATCGTTTTAAATTTTTTTAAGGAACCTTTCAACAGGGCCCGACTTAGCCTAATTGGGGCTTCCTTGGGGGGCCACCGTCTGCTTCACTACTTCAGTGATGAATATTTGAACTTTATGTTGGTATTCAAATTTTTCACCTCATTATACATAGATGACAAGAAAATTGACTAGAACCTAAAATAGCTATTAGGTCCACCTTCAATGGTCAGAGGAAATGTTCTGTCCATTTTATTGATTTTCTGACTATTCTATGTACATCATGCCGTATACCGTTTTCTGATTGTTAACTTTCTTATCTAGAGGAGAAAAATTCATATCCTTACTGACATTAGGGCGGAATTCAGGTAAATTTTCGCGAATACGATAGCTCAATTAAGCCTATCAGAAGCCCGTATTTATGTAAGCATATTTCATTTTGCTATATGCAAAAATACAGGCTTTTGATTGTCCAAATTTGTTCGTCGCAATTGCGAAAATTTAACTGAATTCCGCACTAGAAAGACAGATTTACGAAAGATATATTTTTTTGTGTTCATACGATACGATTAATGAAGAAGCTAAAATAAAACTGACGGATTTTACTCTGTACTGATATTTTGTTCAAAAAATGTTCATTTCCAGTTGGTGCAACTAGTTGCAATTGGGCAACTCCCCGTATGCCCCTATCTTTGTCTGCCTGTCAAAACAAAATTTTGTTTTCTAATAAAATTTATTAATTATACAAAATAAAATGTGTTTATTTCGATCTGGTTTACTTATTTTGAACTATATTGAAAATCGTTCTTAAAATATATTTCGTAAAATTAAATGCATGTAGATTCTTTGACATCTGACATTTATTAACGGTGGCCTCAGTAACTTATTTAATTTTCAACAGACTCCCACTAAAATTAACAGCATATGTATAAGTGATGAGTTTCATTGATACAAAGAAATACTTTTTTAAAAAATTTTT